AAGCTTTGCGATATTCCAAATTATCATGAACTAGAGCGTAATGATCTACAATCTATTGTTCAAGAAGAAATTTGATTCTGATTTGTTGAATTATCATAGACTTTTGAAAATGTACCTCCTGGTGTTGAGCTGAACCAACGTAAAACTCATTAAATTCCTGTTCATCCAAATTGTTTGCTAAGTCCTTGCATCGTTTTATGCAAGTACCAATGAAAAGAATATCATGTCGGAAACGATGTCTAGGTAAAGACGAATATTTTTCTATGATTCTCCAATTTTCTGATGTCGTATTAGGTACAACTTCAACATAAGATAGACAATATATTCCATTGCCATCAGGGTTGTGATAGAGGCAGGTATCGTAATCATCTAGTTTGAGTATTGATGGCATTTTCAAATATTCTGTCACTAAAAATTAATTCATTATAGATTATAACTTCTCAGCAGACATTTACATTTTTGTAATTTAGTCCTGACTTAAGGATGCATATTTGCAATTGGACTTACTATTAGTTTCCTCGTGGCCTTTGCTGGAAAGAAATAATAAAAAAAATGTTAGCCCAAATAAAATCCGATATGCGGCGATCATGTTTCTTATATAATTGATCCGTCTGATGATTTTAGTTAAACTGAATTGAAGTTTTGATTCTTATTGTATATAAGTTCTAAGCTATTTAATAATGAACATAAGAATATACTGAAGTTAAATTCAATTAACAAATGATTAAATATTTTTTGTCGACATCAAAGGTAATTATTGTCTACTTCATAGGTCATTTTAATATATATAAAAATTAAAATTAATTGATCTATTCATAATCTATATTGGAAAGATTATAAAATTGGTTTAATTTACATAAAAAGTTTATTTTTTAGTTGAACCAATAATAAAGAGTAAATAACTACATTCAAATTATTGGTTTAAAAAAATGACAAATTACAAATTAGTTCCAAAGAAAATCACTGAAAAACTTAGATAAAAAAAATAATGAATTTGTTCAAAGTCCTTGTGCAGAAGACCCTAGGTCTTATTCAACTAAATAACATATATTTTTTTCAAGATGTGCTCAGCTTTCGATTGTTCACGAAATTAAATAGGTCTTCAACTTACCACAGAATATAAGTATTGGAGTTTTGTTAATTTTTTTTCAGTTTTATTTCTTTTCTTATTTTGTTTGTCATCGAACTGTGATTTAAACCCCATTTCATAAGTCATAAATCGATGTCAATGGGCTCAACATTTTGCAAGCTTATAAACCAGGAAACTAAGAAACGTATAACACAAGACAGAACGCTAGATTTTGTGAATGAAATGGGGTAGCACCAAAACTGTAGTCAGATTAGCCTGTATATTCTGGATTGTAATGACCACGGTTATAAAGTGGGATCAAAGAGAGACTAGTTTGTACCTCTGCTTTTGGCAACTGACACAACTGACACATTAATTGATAACTTAACTTTAAGTTGATTGTGTCTACATAATGGGTTTTTGTGATCAAGCTGCTTGTACGTGATATTCTGAATAGCATCCTCGACATGAGTAACGAAGTTGCATTTAACATACAGATCAATACATTGGCAAGCTGTTTCAGTCTATCAGAAAGATATATGCCCATGCCATTAATATGAACTCGCACTAAAAAGCCTTGAAGGATCTCCCATGATCGCGCAGTTAGAAAGAAAAAACAGCTTTGATATTTTATTTATTGACTTATGTATAATACAGACTGTTATAATTCTCTATTAAAATTATGTTATATGCAGTGAGGATAATATTGGCATTACCAAAATAAATATGAATGTACTCGTGAAGCAGAATAAGGTACAGATGAACTTGTTTGAGATAGCCGAAGAAATTAAGACATCTTATTAAAAATTGTTAAAAGATTGTTGGTGCCTTTAAAGATTTATTTGAAAGCTATGTGGTTATCAAGATATTTGTAAGAAATATAAGTTATTCCATATATATGAAAAAATGTATCGAAACAAAACTAATTATCACTGAGAATCATTTATAATGGGACAGTTACGAATAGATAATTTCAGGTGCGTTTCTGCAAAAATGATTTAACCTCGGATAACATCTACATCTTGTCAGGCATTATGCATATATATATTTTGTAGATTTGCACTAATATATATGTTTTATCCAGAAGGGACATCGATGCGAATGGAATGGTACAAAACCCGGGCTTGGGAAAACACTGAAACAAAGCCGGGCTGTATATTCTTCCATTAATATATTTATTCCCTATCTCAATGTACGATCTAAAAGATGGAATATGGATAGAAAAAATAAATATGATTATATTAATGTATACATATATATATAATTTTTTTTTTTTTTAATTTGAAACATTAACAGTAACTAGTCAAATATGGTCAGTGGAAGGAACAGCTGTTTGCATTTAGGAAATTGAGATTTAAAATAACAATATATTCAAAATAATATTATTATGTTATTACCAGCAGTTCAAATGGTTTAATACGTAGTCGTCATCTTGTATGCAGCTGGAGTCTTGCATGACAAGAACCAGCTTAATTAGATATTTCCACAGTTATAGTAGATACATTGAGATCGCGGTGAAGGTTGCTGTTTCGAGTGTACGTTTCGAGTGAAAACTTTGAATTACATCTATATTACTTTACTTTACCCCAAAGCCGTGCGCCATACATCCAAACAGACTTAAGTATTTGCTTGAATTTCTATCTGCAAGCCATTGTAGATTCTTCAGTTTTATTTCTAGTTCATCTCTTTTAATTTTAATATGTTCCTTCCACTTAAGCTTGGCGTCTAATGTCATTCCAAGATATTTTACTGTGTTTGAGTATACAATCTTTTTGCCAAATATGGTAATTACTAATCCCGATGTTATTTTGTTCGGGAATTTTATGTGTGTTGATTTAGTGTTCACACTTTGTGATTTTCCATTTTTTTGTCTAATCGGCACTTTTATTTACGGCATTTTGTAGCTGCATCATTGATTCAGCTTTGGTATTTGCAACAGAAAAGATTGCAGTATCATCAGCAGAAGTAGCAATAATTGAGTTCTCTGGCGTAGGAATATTGGAAGTGTCTAGTAGGTACAATACCGGACCAAGTATGCTTCATTGTTGGACGCCTGCTTTTATAGGTTTTAGTCATTCACTCAAGTATGACTCTGAGATGTCACAACAGCCAGTTGGAAGGATAACTCTTATTTTTTAATGAGTCCAACATGTTAGACTTTATCGAACGGTTTAGATACATCAGGGAACATGGTAGAGTAAACTTGTTTATCTCTAAAGTATTTTTCAATTGTAATTGTAATCCTATGAATCTGTTGAATTGTAGAGTGGTTAGTTTTACCCAAATTGATGAGTTGGTAGAAGATTTGGCCTTTCTATGATATGTTTTATTCGTTTCCAAAGTAACACATCAATCATTCATAACATTCAAAGTTTTAATATATGCAGACAATATAATGTGAAATACAAATACTATAAACTTATATATATAAAGAAAGACTACTGTAATTGTAATTGGAATTTAAAAGTCAACTCAATTTAAGAAATCGGTATTCAAGAAAGGATGTAGACAGGCAAACAAAGAAAAAGGTAGTTCAGTGGCGTAGAAACAACAGTACTTAATAATTAGGGTGTTTAAGCAATTCGTACTTTAATCCATTAAATTTCATTATCAACAAAACACTTATGTGAACCCTGCATTAACTCACATAACTTTTTCTGAGAGTTCCTGTTGAAAGTCACTGTATAAAAATTCTGGGTATGAAAATGAAGTAGGCCATATAAGTGTCTCATTATCTTCGTCGAGGTGTACTGGAAATTCTTCTAACGGCAGGAATTTGGGTTGTAACAATTCTTTTGTTATAGGTTTACCCTTTGATTGGTCGTCAAATTTAATAGATAATTGATATTATATCGGTGCTTGTAACGATAGTAAGTATAAGAAATAACACACACAACAACTGTGTAATTCAAAACTTTATGATAACATGCGAGTCACCTCATTAACGGGAGTCTTATAGCACATTCACACTGTCTCATCTAATGTTGATTTACCATATAAAAATCTCTCATATAAATGAGTTCATTATCAATAAATTAGCTAATTAAAAGCCCGAGTTTAATGTGTCAAGTATGGTCGACTTACATGCAAAATTTCATTCATTTTAAGTGATGGAAGCAAGAATATCGTTTTGATGTATAATAGCAAGCGATAAGACAAAAATGTCGAATGCAATTTTGCAAATTTAAAATATGTGTCATATGTTTTATACATAAAATGTACACAAACAACAGTTGAGCTGTAAACAAAGGCACTGAGGAAGTAAGTATTTAATGAAATCTTTATTTTCATTAATTGAATATGTAATTGATATATAAAATGTATATAAATGATTTAATATATCAATTATATATTTAATTTTTATATGTGGTATGGTATTAAGTGAAGTTTATAAAAATTCTATTAACTGCATAACTGAGCTTATTAAACTCATACCATTATTACTCATTAATATAAATGAGCAAGTGCCTAAATGAGACAGTGTAAATGTATTATTAAAAGCAATTTAGCTGCTCTTAAAATTCCATCAAATTTTTATTTAAATACATTTGAAAGAAGTTTATTTAAAGTGTTTTTACCTTTAATTCAATGTTAATTATAGTAAGAATATTTGCTATTAAGCACAACGCATATATCTTGAATGTAGTTCTAAAGTTCAAGTGACAATCAACCTTAAAGGTAGTATTAATTATTAAATGGAAACATGTTAAAAATGAATTCAAAGTTGATCTGTTTTATGGCTTCAAAAAGATGTTGACAAATGTTTTAGGAAATAAATATAGTATACAATGTTTGCCTAACTATCTAAAGTCTGATAAAATCTGATATGTATTGGTGAACTCTCTAAAGTATTCTTTATAAATTTTTATTTCATAAAGTATAAATTATATTACATAAATGTTTAAATTAAAAAAACACAAACAAGCTATTACCTTGTGTACAAATACATTTTAAATAAAAAGAAAGTCTTTTCTATTTGGGGGTTGAATTTTAATTTTATTTAAAAAAAATAGGAAAGTTATACTATGAAAATAACTAATTATTAAGTTTTCTCTACTTCAACGTAGTACTCCTTTTTATTCACTTGGATTTCGATTTTTCTGTTATCTTTAAAGTAAAGGAAATCACTTAATAGTCATTTTCACTCTAAACTTCATCACTTACCTTCGGAGTGGTTCCAATGAAACTATTAACTATTTCAGCGATTGGATATTCAAAAACTATTGCTACAATCGTAGCAACCATATTACTGATTGAAATTGTTAGAAAAAAGTAAAGTGGCTATAAGAAAAAATAACACTAAAAGTTAAAAAATAAAAATAATCAAAAAAAAATGAAATGTTCCATAGTCATACAATAGTCAAATTGTTAACATCAGCGGGCTGTTTGTGAAGGCTCATAATAATGCGTAGAACTGCGATATGCCACAAGTATACTGGATATGATATCCTAGCATTCTTCAGCATTGAGTTTGATGATAATATATTTCGGATGAATCCTTAAAAGAAGTCAAAATACAGAAAAATGTATTCACCTTTAAAGTTTAAAGTTATAAGCTGATCTACATACCACCCAATTTCATACTAAAAGCCAAAATCACTATACAACCGAAGAAGAAGATTATGTTTGTGTTAAACACCGCCATTAAAATGCTTATAGTATAATTTTCGGAATTGTAGTTAATATTTAAAAATCCATAAAACATCATAAAACTGATCCAACAGCCGAGTTCATATTTGAAAACTCCTTTATAAGACCGACGTTTGATATTGGCTTTTAGTTTCAGATATATTTCAGCCGTTATTATACTAAGTAGGCAGATGTCTATTTTTGTTAGAGGGGTCATGCCTATATTTTCAATATCATTTGCTTTGGTCATAAACATAATCTGATAATATCTGTATCAAAAATGATTAAAAATTATTATTAAAAAACAAAAACAAAATGTTATTGAACCATCATACATACAACATAAGGAATCCAGCGTGATATTGAATTTTATATATAATCAATAAAATCGCAGGGTAGAGTAGAGAAAAAAGAAACAAGATACCATATATGAGCTTCTTAAAATGTGGTTTTCTAAAATTGAAATATAATTAATCTCAATTCTATTGGAATAGTCAGTGAATTATTAACTTCGCAATAATAATTAAGACAATGAGGAAAATTATAAATATTTGCATATCGGCGGCCAGATACCAAGTGATTGGCATTGTCTGTAATAAAAAGGCAGATAATATAAAAATCTCGTATTTGACCAATGCTTACACTATCAATCAACGACCAGTTATTAATGAATAACAAATTTTTCCACCAATTAATACGCGCAAACTTATGATCTTGACCAGTGAGATGTTTCCAAATTGGAGAATCTATTTGATTTCCATAAAATGAGGCATTGTATAGAATTATTAATGCATATCCCGGTACAAGTCTGTAAAATTGGAGATATGTAAAATAATTAAATATTTCTTTTAACTGGTTTATGAGATGTTTTTGCAAACTTAAAAATATAATTGGAGATTCGAAAAACGCAATTTCAGAAATTAGTAGGCAGAAATTTACTTCGGGAAGGGCAGATTTCAGATTTCATGCTAGATCGGCCACAGTTTTATTTACGAATTATGTTATGATGCATAAACAACGTATAGACATATGTATACATACAGTCCCTCCGAATGTAATGCAGTTTCTTACGGGGCATGGCTGCTTCCGTGAATACTTATACCGGTTCAGGCTTGCAAGTAATCCGTACTGCCAGTTTTGTCCAGATAAAATTGAGAGCTCCGTTCATATAATTAGAGACTGTATAAGATTCGTAGATACTAGACAAAATCTAGAGACTATAATTGGGGAAGCCAGCCCTCCTACTGTAGTAATGCAGATTTTGGCAAGCATTGAAGAATGGAGCCTCTACAAGAGCATAATATCTAGAACAATAAACACTGTTAGAGCGGACGCAATACTTAGTACACAATCGGAGTGAAAGCACGCTAAGTACTCTTCTAACCTGCCCTGTGAAGGAATACCTTAATTGGTCGTATTGGGATTTACAGGAGTTTGAGCTGAGAATGTAGGGGACTTTTTAGTCCGTAGGCATGTATGACTTAATGGGGTCGTGCATGAATCGGGCATGCAAATGGTACGGGCCATTTGTATCTTTGGAAGATTTTTCCCTCAGGTTCGATACAAAAAAAAAAAAAAAAATCCCCCCGAATGATTTCGGGAAAGAGTTCAGCCCATCGTGCTGGCCTTGGGTAAGTGAATATAACTGAACACATTTAATTTCAAGTCAAAATTTTACTCTAGCAAAATGAAGAATATTCTGCTCGAAACATAAATCGTGTTTGTGAAGAAGTCATTTTGGAATAGTTACATATTAAGGATAGCATGAATTTTTTTTTTCTGAAAAGTATCAACATTTTTATATCCAAAATTTTACTTTCTATTATATTCTTCTATATTCTATACTTCTATGAAGTAAACATACAACTGTGGCAACAAATGTTTCTTACTGAGTTATTTTTTCACCTTATTCTACTCTGATAGAAAAGGTTTACTTTTACTTTAAAAATTTTGATTAAATAGAATTTTTCCACAGGTTGGTGAAGTTAGTTTTATGTCTACTATTTATCATAATCCTTTTTAAACGCTCAAGTCGTCGAAAACGTATAAATTTATATGATAATCAGTGGAACTATTTATGAGCTGAGTCGCACCAAATTTTTTGAACACTTGGAATAAAAAATGATAAAAACTTTATTCACTGTTTAACCATATTATTGTATTGAAGGGTGATAAAATATCCTCCATTTTCCAAGAAAATATGATCTCATCTTTAAAAGAAAATAAAAAAATACATGTTTGCCTAGTTAGGGTAATAATTCTGTGAGTATGAAAATGTTTTAGAAATTGCAAATGTTTTCTTACCTTAAATAGCGATAAATTAGAAATTTCCAAAATACACCGACACAACTTCTCCAACTACTTTTTGGAGTTATAGGGCTCTTCTTCTCAAAACTTATTTTTAATAAAAATGTGCTCATTAAGAAAAACATGCCATTAACTATTCTGCCACAGTTAGCCGAAAATGAAGTAAAATTATTTAATTGATACGTTTCGAAAAAAATTTCATTTGTACTGCCCCTAGTTATTAGACCCATAACAATATGCGCATGAATAACCAAGGTATTAAACACCGTTCTAATACCATTTAAAAAATTCAAGTCATCATCTGTACCCCTAGTATTGCTATGGAGTTTAAGGTAGTTTCTTTTAAGTGAGAAGGCAGTTAACAGTCTGTCCTCTAAAATAATTTTGTAAATAAAATATAATGAACTTATAAACTGATCGATATTTTTTTATGAACCTTACTTTTTGTTATAAATTTAGTCGTAAAAAATGCATTTCCGTTGTCTTGAGTTGCACTGAACTTCAAGTAGTAATCATAACCAGTGGAAAAAATGCAGAGACATACAATAGATGCCAGGATTATTAGAAAAATAAAATGGGCGGTGTCTGAAATGAGTGAACTATTAACGTAATGAGGATATTGTAATAATAGTATTACCCCATAATTGTTCTTTGCTACTGTCTATACAATATTCAATATTGGAGCGCAGCTTTAACTCGTACTTATGCTGATATTCATGGTTTAGACACTTGTTAATTAATTCATCGTAAGCTTTGCGATATTCCAAATTATCATGAACTAGAGCGTAATGATCTACAATCTATTGTTCAAGAAGAAATTTGATTCTGATTTGTTGAATTATCATAGACTTTTGAAAATGTACCTCCTGGTGTTGAGCTGAACCAACGTAAAACTCATTAAATTCCTGTTCATCCAAATTGTTTGCTAAGTCCTTGCATCGTTTTATGCAAGTACCAATGAAAAGAATATCATGTCGGAAACGATGTCTAGGTAAAGACGAATATTTTTCTATGATTCTCCAATTTTCTGATGTCGTATTAGGTACAACTTCAACATAAGATAGACAATATATTCCATTGCCATCAGGGTTGTGATAGAGGCAGGTATCGTAATCATCTAGTTTGAGTATTGATGGCATTTTCAAATATTCTGTCACTAAAAATTAATTCATTATAGATTATAACTTCTCAGCAGACATTTACATTTTTGTAATTTAGTCCTGACTTAAGGATGCATATTTGCAATTGGACTTACTATTAGTTTCCTCGTGGCCTTTGCTGGAAAGAAATAATAAAAAAAATGTTAGCCCAAATAAAATCCGATATGCGGCGATCATGTTTCTTATATAATTGATCCGTCTGATGATTTTAGTTAAACTGAATTGAAGTTTTGATTCTTATTGTATATAAGTTCTAAGCTATTTAATAATGAACATAAGAATATACTGAAGTTAAATTCAATTAACAAATGATTAAATATTTTTTGTCGACATCAAAGGTAATTATTGTCTACTTCATAGGTCATTTTAATATATATAAAAATTAAAATTAATTGATCTATTCATAATCTATATTGGAAAGATTATAAAATTGGTTTAATTTACATAAAAAGTTTATTTTTTAGTTGAACCAATAATAAAGAGTAAATAACTACATTCAAATTATTGGTTTAAAAAAATGACAAATTACAAATTAGTTCCAAAGAAAATCACTGAAAAACTTAGATAAAAAAAATAATGAATTTGTTCAAAGTCCTTGTGCAGAAATATTGAGCACAACTATGAACCCTAGGTCTTATTCAACTAAATAACATATATTTTTTTCAAGATGTGCTCAGCTTTCGATTGCTCACGAAATTAAATAGGTCTTCAACTTACCACAGAATATAAGTATTGGAGTTTTGTTAATTTTTTTTCAGTTTTATTTCTTTTCTTATTTTGTTTGTCATCGAACTGTGATTTAAACCCCATTTCATAAGTCATAAATCGATGTCAATGGGCTCAACATTTTGCAAGCTTATAAACCAGGAAACTAAGAAACGTATAACACAAGACAGAACGCTAGATTTTGTGAATGAAATGGGGTAGCACCAAGACTGTAGTCAGATTAGCCTGTATATTCTGGATTGTAATGACCACGGTTATAAAGTGGGATCAAAGAGAGACTAGTTTGTACCTCTGCTTTTGGCAACTGACACAACTGACACATTAATTGATAACTTAACTTTAAGTTGATTGTGTCTACATAATGGGTTTTTGTGATCAAGCTGCTTGTACGTGATATTCTGAATAGCATCCTCGACATGAGTAACGAAGTTGCATTTAACATACAGATCAATACATTGGCAAGCTGTTTCAGTCTATCAGGAAGATATATGCCCATGCCATTAATATGAACTCGCACTAAAAAGCCTTGAAGGATCTCCCATGATCGCGCAGTTAGAAAGAAAAAACAGCTTTGATATTTTATTTATTGACTTATGTATAATACAGACTGTTATAATTCTCTATTAAAATTATGTTATATGCAGTGAGGATAATATTGGCATTACCAAAATAAATATGAATGTACTCGTGAAGCAGAATAAGGTACAGATGAACTTGTTTGAGATAGCCGAAGAAATTAAGACATCTTATTAAAAATTGTTAAAAGATTGTTGGTGCCTTTAAAGATTTATTTGAAAGCTATGTGGTTATCAAGATATTTGTAAGAAATATAAGTTATTCCATATATATGAAAAAATGTATCGAAACAAAACTAATTATCACTGAGAATCATTTATAATGGGACAGTTACGAATAGATAATTTCAGGTGCGTTTCTGCAAAAATGATTTAACCTCGGATAACATCTACATCTTGTCAGGCATTATGCATATATATATTTTGTAGATTTGCACTAATATATATGTTTTATCCAGAAGGGACATCGATGCGAATGGAATGGTACAAAACCCGGGCTTGGGAAAACACTGAAACAAAGCCGGGCTGTATATTCTTCCATTAATATATTTATTCCCTATCTCAATGTACGATCTAAAAGATGGAATATGGATAGAAAAAATAAATATGATTATATTAATGTATACATATATATATAATTTTTTTTTTTTTTAATTTGAAACATTAACAGTAACTAGTCAAATATGGTCAGTGGAAGGAACAGCTGTTTGCATTTAGGAAATTGAGATTTAAAATAACAATATATTCAAAATAATATTATTATGTTATTACCAGCAGTTCAAATGGTTTAATACGTAGTCGTCATCTTGTATGCAGCTGGAGTCTTGCATGACAAGAACCAGCTTAATTAGATATTTCCACAGTTATAGTAGATACATTGAGATCGCGGTGAAGGTTGCTGTTTCGAGTGTACGTTTCGAGTGAAAACTTTGAATTACATCTATATTACTTTACTTTACCCCAAAGCCGTGCGCCATACATCCAAACAGACTTAAGTATTTGCTTGAATTTCTATCTGCAAGCCATTGTAGATTCTTCAGTTTTATTTCTAGTTCATCTCTTTTAATTTTAATATGTTCCTTCCACTTAAGCTTGGCGTCTAATGTCATTCCAAGATATTTTACTGTGTTTGAGTATACAATCTTTTTGCCAAATATGGTAATTACTAATCCCGATGTTATTTTGTTCGGGAATTTTATGTGTGTTGATTTAGTGTTCACACTTTGTGATTTTCCATTTTTTTGTCTAATCGGCACTTTTATTTACGGCATTTTGTAGCTGCATCATTGATTCAGCTTTGGTATTTGCAACAGAAAAGATTGCAGTATCATCAGCAGAAGTAGCAATAATTGAGTTCTCTGGCGTAGGAATATTGGAAGTGTCTAGTAGGTACAATACCGGACCAAGTATGCTTCATTGTTGGACGCCTGCTTTTATAGGTTTTAGTCATTCACTCAAGTATGACTCTGAGATGTCACAACAGCCAGTTGGAAGGATAACTCTTATTTTTTAATGAGTCCAACATGTTAGACTTTATCGAACGGTTTAGATACATCAGGGAACATGGTAGAGTAAACTTGTTTATCTCTAAAGTATTTTTCAATTGTAATTGTAATCCTATGAATCTGTTGAATTGTAGAGTGGTTAGTTTTACCCAAATTGATGAGTTGGTAGAAGATTTGGCCTTTCTATGATATGTTTTATTCGTTTCCAAAGTAACACATCAATCATTCATAACATTCAAAGTTTTAATATATGCAGACAATATAATGTGAAATACAAATACTATAAACTTATATATATAAAGAAAGACTACTGTAATTGTAATTGGAATTTAAAAGTCAACTCAATTTAAGAAATCGGTATTCAAGAAAGGATGTAGACAGGCAAACAAAGAAAAAGGTAGTTCAGTGGCGTAGAAACAACAGTACTTAATAATTAGGGTGTTTAAGCAATTCGTACTTTAATCCATTAAATTTCATTATCAACAAAACACTTATGTGAACCCTGCATTAACTCACATAACTTTTTCTGAGAGTTCCTGTTGAAAGTCACTGTATAAAAATTCTGGGTATGAAAATGAAGTAGGCCATATAAGTGTCTCATTATCTTCGTCGAGGTGTACTGGAAATTCTTCTAACGGCAGGAATTTGGGTTGTAACAATTCTTTTGTTATAGGTTTACCCTTTGATTGGTCGTCAAATTTAATAGATAATTGATATTATATCGGTGCTTGTAACGATAGTAAGTATAAGAAATAACACACACAACAACTGTGTAATTCAAAACTTTATGATAACATGCGAGTCACCTCATTAACGCGAGTCTTATAGCACATTCACACTGTCTCATCTAATGTTGATTTACCATATAAAAATCTCTCATATAAATGAGTTCATTATCAATAAATTAGCTAATTAAAAGCCCGAGTTTAATGTGTCAAGTATGGTCGACTTACATGCAAAATTTCATTCATTTTAAGTGATGGAAGCAAGAATATCGTTTTGATGTATAATAGCAAGCGATAAGACAAAAATGTCGAATGCAATTTTGCAAATTTAAAATATGTGTCATATGTTTTATACATAAAATGTACACAAACAACAGTTGAGCTGTAAACAAAGGCACTGAGGAAGTAAGTATTTAATGAAATCTTTATTTTCATTAATTGAATATGTAATTGATATATAAAATGTATATAAATGATTTAATATATCAATTATATATTTAATTTTTATATGTGGTATGGTATTAAGTGAAGTTTATAAAAATTCTATTAACTGCATAACTGAGCTTATTAAACTTATACCATTATTACTCATTAATATAAATGAGCAAGTGCCTAAATGAGACAGTGTAAATGTATTATTAAAAGCAATTTAGCTGCTCTTAAAATTCCATCAAATTTTTATTTAAATACATTTGAAAGAAGTTTATTTAAAGTGTTTTTACCTTTAATTCAATGTTAATTATAGTAAGAATATTTGCTATTAAGCACAACGCATATATCTTGAATGTAGTTCTAAAGTTCAAGTGACAATCAACCTTAAAGGTAGTATTAATTATTAAATGGAAACATGTTAAAAATGAATTCAAAGTTGATCTGTTTTATGGCTTCAAAAAGATGTTGACAAATGTTTTAGGAAATAAATATAGTATACAATGTTTGCCTAACTATCTAAAGTCTGATAAAATCTGATATGTATTGGTGAACTCTCTAAAGTATTCTTTATAAATTTTTATTTCATAAAGTATAAATTATATTACATAAATGTTTAAATTAAAAAAACACAAACAAGCTATTACCTTGTGTACAAATACATTTTAAATAAAAAGAAAGTCTTTTCTATTTGGGGGTTGAATTTTAATTTTATTTAAAAAAAATAGGAAAGTTATACTATGAAAATAACTAATTATTAAGTTTTCTCTACTTCAACGTAGTACTCCTTTTTATTCACTTGGATTTCGATTTTTCTGTTATCTTTAAAGTAAAGGAAATCACTTAATAGTCATTTTCACTCTAAACTTCATCACTTACCTTCGGAGTGGTTCCAATGAAACTATTAACTATTTCAGCGATTGGATATTCAAAAACTATTGCTACAATCGTAGCAACCATATTACTGATTGAAATTGTTAGAAAAAAGTAAAGTGGCTATAAGAAAAAATAACACTAAAAGTTAAAAAATAAAAATAATCAAAAAAAAATGAAATGTTCCATAGTCATACAATAGTCAAATTGTTAACATCAGCGGGCTGTTTGTGAAGGCTCATAATAATGCGTAGAACTGCGATATGCCACAAGTATACTGGATATGATATCCTAGCATTCTTCAGCATTGAGTTTGATGATAATATATTTCGGATGAATCCTTAAAAGAAGTCAAAATACAGAAAAATGTATTCACCTTTAAAG